CCCACTTGGCCTCAGTCACCTCAGTGTCCAGGCCCCTTTTCCTCTCACCCTCACCGCCCACTTGGCCTCAGTCACCTCAGTGTCCAGGCCGTTTTTCCTCTTGCCCTCACCGCCCACTTGGCCTCAGTCACCTCAGTGTCCAGGCCGCTTTTCCTCTTGCCCTCACCGCCCACTCGGCCTCAGTCACCTCAGTGTCCAGGCCGCTTTTCCTCTCGCCCTCAACCCCCCACATTCGGCCTCAGTCTCCATGGTGTCCATGCTGTTAAGGCTCTCGCCCTGGCTCCCTCTGCTGTGGTCATCATGGTCCATGTTGGCCGTCATGGGCAAGTCGAGACCCTGTAGGGGCCGGAAGCATGCTGGCCAGGACCCTCATGCATGTGCCCTGCCTCCCGCCAGGTGGTGGCCTGACCAGCCGGAAGCCAGCACCCACTGGTGAGCCGGTCAACAGTAGCAAGTGGAAGTCCACTTTCTCTCCCATCTCGGACATCAGCCTGGCCAAGTCTGCTGACAGCCCGCTGCAGGCCAGCTCTGCCCTGGGCCAGAACTCCCTGTTTGCCTTCCGGCCCGCCCTGGAGGAGTCCAGCCCCGCAGACACCAAGGGGGCCTTGCACCCCAGGAAGACCTTCGCAGGCTCCCTGGCCGGGGCTGACGGGTCCATCCCCAGCACCAACGCTCCCAACGGCTTCACCCTGGGCGGGACCCTGGCCTCCGACCTCAGTTTACACAGCTTCAGCGATGGTGCTTCTCTCTCCCACAAGACCCCCGAGGTGGCCGGGCTGAGCTTCCCCTCCCAGCGGGGCAAGGAGACCAGTGCCCCGGAAGCCAACCCCTTCCTGAGCAAGAGACCACTGGATGGACTGGGCAGCCTGAAGGGGGAGGCCAGCAAGGAGCTGGGCCCAGCCCTGAGCGGCACGTCGGAGAAGGCAGTGGGGCCGCCCAGCGGGAAGGCAGGCCGAGGCCGTGACCGAGAGCTGGATTTCACCCACGGCCACAACCTCTTCATCTCGGCTGCCACCGTGCCCCCCGGGGGCCTCCTCACCGGCCCGGGCCTGGCCCCGGCGGCGTCCTCTGCAGGCACCCATGCCCCCTCCGGCCAGACGCACCGCCCTTTCCTGGGCTCCTTCCCCCCTGGTTCGCAGTTCACACTGGGCCCCGTGTCCCTGCAGGCCAACCTGGGCTCGGTGGCCGGCTCCAGCGTGCTGCAGTCCCTGTTCAGTGCCGTGCCGGCCGCTGCAGGCCTGGTGCACGTGTCATCTGCGGCCACCAGGCTCACCAACTCGCACACCATGGGCACCTTCTCTTCTGGCGTCGCGGGCGGAACTGTTGGAGGTAGGGCGGCGTGCTTCTCCGCCGGCATCTCCGCCGGCATCTCTCGGCCGGCACCCGGCCCTGGGGCTCCTCGGGCGGGCGCAGCCCCTTCTAAAGGCAGGCACGGCCGTGACCACGCTGGCATCCCTGTGTCCACGGGGAGAGGCATGGCTTCTGTCTGGGTGGACACAGACCGTTGAGCTGAGCGCTCAGGCTGGGCGTGGTGGCCCGCCTGCTCTCCGAGGGCACATGAGCCCTCCGTGCCCCCCCACCGAAGGGCTCTGTGGGGTGTTGTGAAGCTGCAGTGTCCACAAGCGAGTGCCGAGCGTGGCCCTGGGCAGTGCCCTGGACAGCGCGGGTCTTTGGCCCCCCTGCAGCAGGGTGGGCAGGCCCTCCCGCAGCGCCTGCCCCTGGACAGCGCGGGTCTCGGGCCCCTGCAGCAGGGTGGGCAGGCCCTCCCGCAGCGGCCCGCGGGGTCAGGGCGAGGAGCGTGGTGCTGGGAGCCCGGCCTGGCTGGCCGCCGTCCTCGGGCCCGCGAGCCCCCAGGTAAGTCGCTGTGGCTGCCGCTTGCTGCTCTGCCCCGCACAGGTGCTCCTGGCCGCCGGCTGCGTGTCTGCCCGGGCACCCTCTCCGCTTGCCGGGCGTGCCGCCTGTTGAAGCTGCGTTTTTCTCTCCTGTCCGCAGGTGTCTTTAACCACGCGGTGCCTTCTGCCTCTTCGCATCCGCTCGGAGCCAGTTTCGGCAGCGGGGCTGTCTGTGGCAGTGCCACGCTGAGCCCCGCCGCGCCCCCGGCGGTGGCCAGCACCCCCGCCGC